CATAATCCATCCATCCATCCATCCATCCACCCATAATCCATCCATCCATCCATCCACCTACCCATAATCCATCCATCCATCCATCCATCCACCCACCCATAATCCATCCATCCATCCACCCACCCATAATCCATCCATCCATCCATCCATCCATCCATCCATCCATCCATCTTTTCACCCCCCAATAAATATTTCTTGTGTGCCAGATGCCCCAGGCATATCTGGTAGCTGCTGTGCAAGAAGGAAAATCAGGGACGAGAAGGCATAAGACAGACACACTGGCATGCAGCTTAGCCTAAGATATTTATTCAGTGCTCTCACAGTTGGCCTCAGTGGCTCCTCAAAGGGGTAGAACAGTGTAGGGGCACACAGGGACACTGTGCAACTTCCAGTTATTGCAATCTCCAGGAGGGTCAGGTCGTGAAGTCCTCATTCCTGGTAGATGACTGATCAGCTGTCACTGTAAGAGACAGACTCTTAGCACTTCCTCTTACAGACTGAGTACTTACCCCGACTGCCCCCTTCCCATGAGGACCCAGGTGCCCCTGCCCCAAGTGGCCTGGCTTCCATGCTATATCCCTCACCATGGGGAGAAGTCCTGCGCTCTCCAGCTCTCTGTCATCATCTTCCAGAGTCATCCCCATCATTGGTCTGGTCCCCGTCAAAGTTTCCGCAGACCCCACACAGCTTCCCGGCATGGTCTTCGCTGACCATCACAGCCAGCTGCCCTTTGCCGCCAAGCCACACCTGGACCCCTGCCTTCTGATTAACGCTCACGGAGCCATCGGGATTCTTATATATGGACACAGACGCTGATAACTCAACTGGGAGAGACACATGGAGACCATTCACCTGGTGGTGGTAGGGGAAAACAGAGGTGAGGCTAGAGCCACAAAAATACTGGAGGGTTACCAGGATGGAGACTCCAAGGAAGACAACAAGTTCAAGGAGCAAAAGCAGAGACGCAGGTGCCAAAAGAGACAAAGATATGGATGGAGGCACTGTATGGAGAGAGACATACATAAGCTAGCTGGTGATCTGGACAGATGATTAAAAGGACAGATGGGTTGACACAGAGATGGGTCAATGGATAAGTAAGGATGCACAAAACATTCCAAGGGCAGCTGGGGTGGGGAGGAGCACTTTGTACCAGACAGATAAACACACAATCCAACCCCAGCATCATTCTTTCTGGTTCTGCTTTTCAAAATAAAAAAACATTTGTTTGTGTTCTGTAAGTTACTGGTTCCCTAACAAAAGCAACTTCATGCCTTATTTTTTCAGTGCTGATGTCTAAAGACAATTGATGACCTAGAAAGTATCATAATCATGTGAAAAAATTACTGTTTCTCTGTCATAAGCTGTGGACTCAGTAACCTTGGGAACCATATGAGCTTTTTCCTTTAAATAACTGTTGTTTATTTTCATTGATGAGTTAATCCTTCTTGAGCTAGACTCCCTAGAGAACCTTCTTTGAAATAAAAGTTCTTTTTTTCTAAATGATTTCTGTCTGAGTCTTCCTCTGCCAGTTGATTGGAAAGATAGGTAGATATTATCTGGATGGATGGATGGATGGATAGATGGATGAATGGATAGATGGGTGGATGGATGGATGGATGGATGGATGATGGGTGGGTGGATGCATGGATGGATGGATGGATGGACTGGTGGGTGAATGGATGGATGAATGATGGGTGGGTGGATGCATGGATGGATGGATGGACTGGTGGGTGGATGGGTTGATGGATGATGGGTGGGTGGATGGATGGATGGATTGGTGGTGGATGGGTGGATGTGTGGTCGGATTGTTGGGTGGATGGACAGCAGGAAAGAAGGAATAGTGGAAGGGAAAATGGAGGGAAGGAGAGGGGGAAAGGGGGAACAGAGGTAGAAGAATAGATGGCTGGAAGGAAGGAAAGAGAGATAGATGTAGCGAAGGATAGTTGGAGGGGTGGATGCAAAGTTTCACCAGGCCTCAAGCTTTGGAAGTAAAAGAACTGGGTCTGAATCATCTGTGTCACTCAGCGCATGGTCTGCTGTTGTAGTGGGAACAGAGCTGAATGTATTCACAAAAACAACCTTTTCCTGGGAATCCTCTTTGGGCGGCCAGGCCCCATTCTGGGTACTGGGGACAAAGTGACAATCAAGATGGACAGGACCACTGCCCACCTGAGTATTATATTCTAGGGATGGCGAAAGGCAACAAACACAAACAAATAATGGATGACTTCAGAGAGTGAGAAGTGTCTTAAAGGAAATCAAAGAGAGCGATAGCATGGAGACTGGGATGGAGAGGAGGAACTTCTGTAGGTGGTCAGGAAAGGCCTTTCTGGAGAAGCAGTGCTGGAACCGAGACCTGGAGGACAAGAAGGTGTCAACTCAGACCACCTGGGAGAAGAGCCTTGCAGCAGTGGGAACAGCACACATGAAGGCCCGAGGTGGGGACAAGCTTGGTTTGCTGAAAGGTCAGCCTGGCCTATCATTAGTATAGCTAATGGGGGATGGAGTTACTGGAAACGGGGTTGGAGGCCAGCAGGAGTCAGATCACACAAAGCCTCATCCTTAGGCCAAGGAAGGGAGGTGGCTTGAGTTTGGAATGCTGCTCTAGGAAGCCACTATAGAGTTTTCCATCTGATCTGATTCCCAGTTCTAGGGCATCTGTCAGCTCTGTAGGGAACTGTTTCTCTCGATAGAGGGGCAAGGGGAGGTCAAGAGTAGGTGTCTGTTAACCTGAATTATGGATCAAGGAGATGGCTTGAGAAAAGGAATGAGTGGTCCAGATTACCCGAAAGAGAGAATGCAAGCCTCCCTGTTTCCAGCAGGGCTGTGTCTCGGCCCATCTCCATGCGCTGGTGGGGGAATGCAGACCATGCACTGAGGGGGGTGTGTGTGGAGCACCAGCTGTCTCTCTCCACTGAACCCAGAAGACCCCAGTGGATGTCTCTGCAATCAATAAACAGGTCATAAAAATAGGGATATGCTCCTCTAGGAACTTCAGTGTGGCCTGACGTCTGTGTTTGGGTCTGGGACTCTCCCATGCGGGCCATGAATGACTGGACCGTAAGTCAGCCATCAGTCCTCAGTTTGGCCAAACAGATTCTCTCTCAGAAATCTGGAATGGGGGTGGTGAGAACCATGGGGTTTGGCAAATGCAAATGTACATGAGAGGAAGTCAAGGGGCAAAGGGAGGGGGCACCAGGGCTGGAACAGACTCTTGGAGGCAGACAATGATAGGCCGAGGGGGTCCCGAAGAGAAAGCTGAGGGACAGGAAGAGGGAAGGATCAGTGGCCCAGCATTATCAGAGTCCAGGAGAAGTTCCTACTGGACACTGCACTTGGACACGATCGTGGCTCCTTGTATCCACAGTTATCCCCAGCACTGTGTTCCCACCAACATGGTTGGGAACTGAGCCTGGTGCTGGTGGATTCAAAGCCTGGATCTCTCCCAGGCACTGTCTGAATGCCTTGCATGAATGATTTCACCTTCTTGGGCCCTTGTTTATCCTCTGTGTAAAATGGAGATAATAGTCCCTGTCTTTGTGGGGAACCACAAAGAATGAAACTGATTTGATGAATATCAAGTCCAAAAGATAGAGGTACAAATCCAGATAATACCGCCAGAGCACCTGGATCCAGCTACGCCTGAGGCTCTACCCCTGGATTTTCTAGTTCTGGGGGGCCAAGAAGTTCCTCTTTGCTCAAGGCAATCTGAATTTGGGTTTCTGTTGCTTATAACCAAAAGAGTTTAGATTGACACTATGATCAAAACGACTAATTGACTTGAGCGTGTTTTCGCTCCTCAAGAACTCAGCCGGAACAGAGAGACTAAGTTTGAAATACTGAGACAAATACCAATCCAGAGACTAAACTACAGAGATCTGGATAAAGAAAGCACAAGGCAGATGGGCAGCCAGTATTGTAGGGGCACGGCAGCAGGAAGGACAAAAGCCCAGGGGAGACGTGCCCCCATGCCCAGGCTTACCCACACTCCGTTCTCTGAGCTCAGAATCACCAGCCCATCCTTGAAGAAGATGTGAACCTGGTTCACAGGTCCAATTTTGCCTTGGCAGGCCTGGACAACAGCCACCACACGGAACCAGGGAATGGTGTCTGGTAGCCCCGGGCAGCGGGAAGACAGTTCGTAGATGCCCTGGGAGCGGAAAGCTCCATGGGATCCATTGAAGGTGGTGAGGTTGGCATCCACAGAGAGGGAACAGAGACCCTGGGGGGCCCAGCAGTTCTGGGCCCCAGCCCGGACCTCACAGACCCGGTCTGGCCCACAGCTGGCTGCCTTGCACGTCAGGCCGGTGCTTGGGGAGCAGGAACAGTGCTGGCGGCAGTCTGAGCTCAGCAGTGAGGAGTTCACCTGTGCACAGAGACAGGGGCCAGGTGGCCGGGGTGTAGTGGATGGCGTCCATGGCCACAATCTCCCAAACCCTCTGCATCTACCTAGAGTGACTTGGCACCAACTTCCACTGAACCGTGGAGTTTACTTCCCCTTTCCCCAGGAATCTGGGTTCACCTTAACGCCATGCTTGGCTTGTTATAAGGCAGCAGAAGCAACACCGCCCCAGGTTCAAGGTTGGACCTCATGGGACCACACAGCTTTTTCTCCTTCTCTCTCTCTCTCTCCCTCCCTCCCTTCTTCTCTCTCTCTTTCTTGGAACTCTGCCCGTAAGAACAAGCGTGGGCTAGCCTGCTGGAGGATGAGACTCCACGGAACAAAGACAATGATCCCAGCTGTCACATTGTATGCCAGGCAGCACTCAGCGGACCCACCGCAGGGCTAGAGATGTATGAGTGAGCCCCCGAACAGCGGAGGAACCACCCAGCTGAGTCCAGCCCAAAGAGCAGACTCCCAGAATCATGACCTCAACAAATAGTTGTTTTAAGCCACTATGTTTTGGGGTAGTTTGTAACCCAGTAAAAGCCAACTGATACCAGGTAGGGCAGAGAGCCCAGAGTCTTGACACCCACAGCCCAGACCATGGGGCCCCGGGAACCCAACTCCAGGAAACAATTTTTTCTCTGACTGGCTGCTCTCTCTTCACTGCATTCTCAAGTTCGTCCTCATCTCCCAAATCCTTAACTGCTACTTTGCTCAGGGCGCAGTCCTTAGACCTTTTCCTTCTCCCTCTGTGTTCACTACCCGGTGATCTCATCAAATCTCATCAAAAAGCAGCGTCTGATCCTCATTTGGACTCTGGCTCAGGGGGGTGGGTGATTGTCCTAGAGGACATTATTGGGACCACCGATAAAATTCAAATGGGATCTTTATAGTATTGATTCAGTGTTCATATCCCAATTTTGAAATTAATCACATCATAATCATGTAAATGAATTTCTTTATTCTTAGGAAATACTAAAGCACTAAGGGGTAAAGGGGCACTATGTCAGCATCACTCTCAAATAGTACATAAAAAATGTGCATATATACTTATATAAAGAGAATGATAAAGCAAACATGTCGGGGCACCTGGGTGGCTCAGTCAGTTAAACGTCTGCCTTTGGCTCAGGTCATGATTTCAGTGTCCTGGAATCGAGTCCCATATTGGGCTCCCTGCTTAGCAGGGAGTCTACTTCTCCCTCTCCTTCTGCCCCTCCCCCTTGCTCGTTCTCTCTCTCTCTCTCTCAGATAAATAAATAAAATCTTAAAAAAAAAGCAAACTTGTCGAAAGGTCAACAAGAACCTAAAGGAAAGGTATACAGGAGTTCTTTGTATGATTCTTGCACGTTTCCTTAAGTTTGAATTCTTTAAAAATAAAAGTCTGAATAGAGAACCCAGAAATTAACCCTCAACTCTGTGGTCAACTAATCTTCGACAAAGCAGGAAAGAATGTCCAACGGAAAAAAAGACAGTCTCTTCAACAAATGGTGTTAGGAAAACTGGACAGCTACATGCAGAAGAATGAAACTGGATCATTTCCTTACACCATACACAAAAATAGACTCAAAATGGACAAAAGACCTAAATATGAGACAGGAATCCATCAAAATCCTAGAGGAGAACACAGGCAGCAACCTCTTCAACCTTGGCCGCAACAACTTCTTGCTAGACACGTCTCCAAAGGCAAGGGACACAAAGGCAAAAATGAACTATTGGGACTTCATCAAGATAAAAAGCTTTTGCACAACAAAGGAAACAGTCGACAAAACAAAAAGACAACTGAGAGAATGGGAGAAGATATTTGCAAATGATATATTAGATGAAGGGCTAGTATCCAAAATCTATAAAGAACTTATCAAACAACACCCAAAGAACAAATAATCCAATTAAGAAATGGGTAGAAGACATGAACAGACATTTCTCCAAAGAAGACATCCAAATGGCCAGCAGACACATGAAAAAATCCTCGACATCACTCGGCATCAGGGAAATACAAATCAAAACCTCAATGAGATACCACCCCACACCAGTCAGAATGGCTAAAATTAACAAGTCAGGAAATGACAAATGTTGGTGGGGATGCAGAGAAAGGGGAACCCTCCTACACTGTTGGTGGGAATGCAAGATGGTGCAGCCACTCTGGAAAACAGTATGGAGGTTCCTCAAAAAGTTGAAAATTGAGCTACCCTATGACCCAGGAATTGCACTACTGGGTATTTATCCCAAAGATACAAATGTAGTAATCCAAAGGGGTACTTGCACCCCAATGTTTATAGCAGCAATGTCCACAATAGCCAAATGATGGAAAGAGCCCAGATGTCCATCAACAGATGAATGGATAAAGAAGATGTGTTATATACACACACACACACACACACACACACACACACACACACAATGGAATATTACACAGCCATCAAAAATGAAATCTTGCCATTTGCAACAACGTGGATGGAACTAGAGGATTTTATGCTAAGCGAAATAAGTCAATCAGAGAAAGACACAATTATCATATGATCTCACTCGTATGTGGAATTTAAGAAACAAAACAGAGGGTCATCGGGGAAGAGAGGAAAGAATGAAACAAGATGAAACCAGAGAGGGAGATACTTAATCATAGGAGACTCTTAACCATAGGAAACACACTGAGGGTTGCTGGAGGGGAGGGGGGTGGAGGGATGGGGTAACTGGGTGAGGGACATTAGGGAGGGCATGTGCTGTAATGAGCACTGGGTATTATGTAAGACTGAGGAATCACAGACTTGTACTCCTGAAACAAATAATACATTATATGTTAATTTAAAAAATAAAATTGAAGTCTGAAAACATTAAAGGAAATGAATGAATGGAACAAAAGAGCTAAATACCATCTCTATACAGATGGCTTGCTCATCTGTATCTCTAGCCCAGACTTCTCTGGTGAATGCCAGACTCATAAATCCAAGAAACCTTCTAGCACAGGCAGAGTGGTCAGGGCTGGGATGGGGGAAGCACTGGGGTAATACCTAACCCAGCCTAGGGGATCAGGGAGAGCTTCTTGGAGGCAGTAACCCCCCAAGCTTCTTGTAGGCAGTGACCCCCCAGAGGAAGGAGAAGTTTGGCATTTCCTTCCCCGGAAGTCTTGCACTTCCAGGTCTTCTAGCCTAGCTTTCTGACATTAATAAAATGATGCGGATAAATGAGGGTAGAATGTGGTCATTCATCTTTCCTTTACTTGATAAATATGCTTCTGAGCAGGTAGGATGCCTAGTCATTCAGAGGGTGGGTCCGGGCTGCTTGGGTGTGAATCCCAGCATCACCACTTGCTAAGGGACAGTTCTGGGCTGACTTCTCCTTGTCACAATGGTGCCCGTCTCATAGGGTTGTTATGATCACTAAATGAATTAACACCTGTAACAAACTTGGGGCATCGCAAGAGCACAGAAAACATCAAGCACAAAAATAAATCCAATTCACTTTCAACCTCCATCAGGAGACAATTGCCAAGTTCACCACCTACTGTGCTATTGTAAATTGCTGGTATTTTTACTGTATGATGGAGACAGAGGGTGAGGCCCAGTGCCCAGCGGGTGCCCTTCAGGCACAATGGCACCCAATCCTCAGACACCTATAGTGCCAGGATGATGATTAACCCCATAGAGAAAATGAGGCTCAGAGAGGGGACTGTAGGAGGCCAAATAATGGTCCCCCAAATATATCCAGCCCCAATTCCTGGAACTAGTCAATGTTACCTTATACAGAAAAAGGGTGTTTGCAGATGTGATGAATTAAGGATCTTGAGATGGAGAGCCTGTCCTGGATTATCTGGGTACGACTTAAATGCAATCACGTGTATCCTTACAAGAGGGAGGCATAGGGAGGTTTTATGACACACACACACAGGAAGAGGGGAAATGTGACACAGGAGGAGGGGAAATGTGACCCAGAAGCAGAAATCGGAGGTGGCCACAAGCCGAGGAATGCCTGCAGCCACCAAAAACTGGGGCGGAGAGGGGGGCAAGGAATGGATTCTCCCCTGGAGCCTCTGAAGAGTGTGTCATCCTGCCTACCCCTCGATTTTGCCCCAGGAACCCTGATTTCCGACACCAGCCTTCAGAACTCTGGAAAAATAGATTTCTCTGGTGTGAAGCCACCAAGTTTGAGGTCGTTTGTCTCAGCAGCCTCAGGAAACTCATACCAGGACTTGACGGGCAGAGTCCCCGAGCTGGGAAATGGACGTGGCCCCTCTGTCCCCATCCTTGAAGAGGTCGGTAAAGAAGCCCCGAGTCTCCCTCAAACTCCTCCACCCTCCCTGCCCGCCGCCAGCCCGCCCTCACCGGCAAGTACTGGCCGTTATGGGCGCAGCCACAGTTCTGTACGGGGACGCAGGTGCCATGCGAGAGCAGGAAGCGGTCGTCACACTCGCAGCCCTCGAAGCAGCGGCTGGTGCAGCCCGTGAGGCCCGAGAGGGCGGCGCAGGAGCCCTGGCAGGAGCGCATGCAGGTGGAGTAGTGGCTGTGGGCAGGGCACTGGAGGGCTGCAGAGGGAGGAGGCAGGGCGGGTCAGGCCTGCGCCCCCGACACTGACGCTGGCCCCCCCAGCACACCAGGATCTCGATCGGCGGTGCTGGGGACGCCAGCTAGGAAGACAGCCTCCCTGTGGAGCTCATGTCAGTGGGACCGATAGTGACGGCTCAGCGTGGTCAGGGCCGCATTGGGGAAGCAGAGGCAGAGAAGTCCAGGGCCAGGATGGGGGCACAAACAGGGAGTTGTAAGGACCCAGGGGAAGCCTCCAGGGTGAGGCCCTGGGCTTTGGCGGAGCAATTGGCAGGTGGTGTGGCTGCCCCAAGATGAGGACTGGGATCAGGGAATGGGGTAAATGCTGATGTCATATGGGAACACAGCAGGTGTGAGGGACCCTAAGGACACCCAAGGGCAAGTGTCCAGGAAGCTGCTGGACCCTCGAGACTGGCAGTCAGGAGAGAGATTGGGGCTGAAGACAGATAGTGTCCACTGTCAGCACTGAGGACAAATCAAGAGCCATAAGGGGTGGATAATGGCTCTGGACATAGGTGCTGTCCTGAGGAGAATGAACAAGACATGGCCCGACCCGGGGAGTTTGAAGGAAACATACCCCTAACTGGGGGTATCTGAGAGGTACAGTCCCGGCCTGGGGATCTGAGGGGATATGGTCCCGTCCCGGGGGCTCCGGATGAGCCAGACTCAGGCTTTCTCATGTGAGCTGCGGACCTGCCTGACTAGCCCTCCCGGGTCCCCACAGAAAGGGCTCAGGATGAGCCTTGAGGAAGAACTGTGTCTGAGATTTCAGGACAGTGGGCCCCTGAAAGGAGTCTGAGAAGGACCAATCGGGGGAAGGAGGGAGGCCAGCAGGGTGTGCTGCGGGAGAAGCTGGGTTGCGTGGGCGGGGTGGGGGGGGTGGGGGGAGTTGGGGGGGGCCTTCCAGAGGGAGGGACTGCTCCTGAGATGCAGCAGGTCAGGGGGTGTCCCTGAGCCAGGTCTGGAGTCTTCCGAGGGCCCTCTCAGACACTCACGGCAGAAGCTGTCTGTCCTCCAGGACTTCACGGTCCCACCGACCGCCTGGCAGCCTGCTGTGTAGGCTGCCAGGCTGCGGCAGAGGAAGGTGGTGTTGCCTTTGTGGAAACACAGGTCGTACACGCATTGGCGGAAGTACTCAGAGGGGTTCAGCACCGCGTGGCAGGCTGCAAAAGGGCCCTGGGGGTCCCAGATCTGACCGCAGGCCTGGTTGCTCTCATACGGTGCCGTCTCCTGGGCCAAGCACACGGGGCAGCCGCTGGCCCCACAGCCCTCGCCACAGCCCTGGGAGGAGCTGGGGGCCCGCCACGCGGCCCCAAAGGCATCCACACTGGGGGCCTTGGCGCCGCTGGGCAGGACAAGGTCGTCGGTCCAGTTGCCGTTGAAGTTCCCACAGAGGCCACAGACCCGGCCACGGAAGGGGCTGGGGATGGATATGAGGACATGGGCATCGCCATCAAAGAGAAGCCGCAGTGCTTTGGCGGTCTGCAGAATCACATTCCGGCCCTCGGCAGTCACTCGCACGCGACCCACAGCCACAGGCAGGGCCACAGCCTTGTTGTCCACGGTGACCTGGGTGGAAAGGCCAGGGGGGTCAGGGACTCACAGAACCACGGGTGAGGCAGTCCCCTCAGACTCCTGGGGTGGAGCTATGTCCCTCGCAGCCCTTTGGGGTCGGACCATGTCCCTCAGACTGCCCGAGGGTGGGACTGTGTCCCCATTCAGACCCTCAGATCTCTGTCCCCCTCACTCGCCTTGGGGCGGGGTCACAGCTCCCTCAGAACCCTCAGGGTGGGCCCTATCCCACTCAGCCCCCCAGGGTAAGGCCACGTCCACTCACCTTTGGCCCCCGAGCCAGTCTCACAACCTGGCCAGCCACAGTCACCACCAGCTGTTGGAGATTGCCGGTGGCATCCTTCTCAAGCACGATACTAAAGTCCTCGTCCTCAGGCTGTGGGTGGCAGACTTTGGCCAGGACGTAGGAGCAGGAACCGTGCAGGTCATAGGTACGCCCATCGAGGGTAATGTAGTGGAGGCCCCCATTGGCCACGCAGCGGCCACAGCCTGTAGGGTGGCAGGCCTGGACTCCGTCCTCTACTCGGCACTCCTCGTAGGGCCTGCAGGCCGGGCCCTCCTGGCAAGTGACTTGGCCGCCCGGCCCACACTCACAGCGCTGCTCACACTCAGGGCCTGGGTAGAAGGACTCGCCTAGCGGGTAGTAGCGGCCCTCGTGGAGGCATCCGCACTGGCCCACGGGCACACAGGTGTCGCCGCTGAGCACGAAGCCGGCATCACAGACGCAGCCCTCCCGGCAGCTCTGCACGCAGCCCTCGGGCGCAGAGAGGCTCGGGCAGCTTACAGGGCAGGAGTCCCCACAGAGCTTGTAGTGGCTGTTGGCAGGGCACAGGAGAGCTGTGGGGACCGAGAGGGAATGAGCCAGGCGGGTGCCAGGGAGCAGCACAGGGGAGGCACAGAGCGGGAGAACCTGCCCAGGTGAGTGTGAATGGGGGCTGGGGACAAAAGTATCTGTGTCTCTGGGAGGAAGCCACCTGAGTCTACCCGGCTGGTGGATGTCTGACCTGGAGCCTCTGACAAGGTTGGTGTCAGCGTGACTCTGACCATGTGTATCTGATTGGATGAAGCTGGCAGGATAAGTTTGACCAAGGCAATGTGTCTGAGGGGAACTGCCCTGGATGATCCCACCATGAGCCTGTATATATCTACCTGGGGCCACGTCAGGGTCATGATTCTACCTGGGGGTCTCTGCCCAAGTGCCTCTAACCAGGAGAGTCCCTGTCTGAGGTTATCAGACTAATTCTATCTGACCTTGTGTCTTTCAGTGTTTGAAACGGTGTAGGTGCATGGGACCAACTCTCTAGGTCTCTTTCACCGGGGGTATCTGAGAGAATCTATACCTGACCAGGTGTATCCTGCTGTGTAGCTTTCGCAGGCTCAACCACCCCGGTCTATCTAAGTGGGATTATCAACACATGAATCCCTGAGAGGATACTGGACCTGGGGTTTCTGACCAGGTGTATCTGAGTCTCTCCCATTGGAGTAGGTGACCTGGTGCATTTCAGTGTGTGAATGCCAACGTGGTTTTCTGGACAGGAGCTATCTGGCTCAGGGGAGGCAAGGTGGTGCCTAACCCCATGGTGGAGGAGAAACACTTGTCTTAGAGCCGCGAAAAGGGGGAGGAGGGGAGACCCCCATTATGTGGACCAGGCATGCATCAGTACTCACGACAGAAGTCCGGCCGCCTCCACTCGCCGAGCTGGGCCCCCGCGGCCTGGCAGACTGTCACATAGGCCGCCACGGCAGGGCAGAGGCCTCCCGGATGGCCCTGGGCCTGGCAGGCGTCCAGCAAGCAGGACTGGAAGTACTGCTCTGGGGGCACAAGGCCGTGGCAGGGCGCCAGCGGGCCGTCGGCGGCGGAGATCACGCCACAGGCGTCCCGGCCGGCGAAGGCCCCCTGCTGCTCGGTTGTGCACTGCGGCGGGCACGGCCCGGGCACGCACTCGCCGCAGCCCGCCTCGCCGCCCACCTGCCAGCCGGCGGGGTTCCCGCCCACAGCCTTCAGGTCGTCTGCGGGGTCCTGGTTGTAGTTCCCGCACAGGCCACAGAGGGCGCCCGCGTACGGCGCCGGCACGCGCAGGCGCACGAAGCTGTTCCCGTCGAAAGCCAGAGAGAGCCCGGCGGCCGCGGTCACCACCACGTCGGCGCCGCTCACGTACGCGCGCAGGCGCGAGTCCAGCTCGTAGGGCAGCGCTACGAGCTTACCGTCCACCTGCGGGCACGGGGTAGGGGTGGGGGCAATGAACGGTGCGGGTACAGGTTCGAATTTTGACTCCGCTACCCACGGGGGGTGGGGAGGAGGGGAGGGGAGGGGAGGGGAGGGTGGATCCATGAGTCTGTGATCTACCCTTTGTAATAATAAAAATGATAGTAGCAGTAGTAGTAATAACGAGCATCTATAGACACGATGCCGCTGCTTCCTCACACTGCCCTATGAAGCAGGTACTTTCCTTAGACCCATTTTATAGTGGAATAAACTAAGGCCAAACTAGAGGAATTATCTAAGAAACGGGCAAGCCACTGCTCCAAGCCCTCCTGCTCCAAGGCCTATACTCCGAACCCCTGCATCATGCCCCGCTAACCTGTGAAAGGTAATCAGGGGAATGGCAAACTCCTAACTGTCCCAGACAACCCCAAGGCTGGCATGTGCTCCCGTCTGGCTCCAGGCTCCTCACCTGCAGCTGACGGGGCCATTGGGCACTGAGGGTCAGGCTGTGTTTGTAGATGTGCAGGGTGACACTGCGAGGGTAGCTGACCGCCTGGCTGCCCCGGTGCTCGTTGACTACAGTGACGGTGAAGTTCTCAGCCCCCGTGGGCAGCGCATTGCAGGGCGTGCTCAGCAGGTACTCGCAATTGCCTTGGAAGTCGAATCGGTGCCCATCCAGGGTGATGTAATGGGGGTCACCCCAGGCCTGACACTCCGCTGTGCTGACAGGCTCGCAGCCATGCTGGCCCGAGGGCAGCAGGGCACATTGTTCACCTAGCCCGCACTTGGCAGGCTTGCAGACCAGCGAGCCACCCCCAGGCCCGCAGCGGCACCTCTGGGAGCAGGTGGCATCAGCCCAGAACTCGCTGCCAGCTTCGTGGTACGTGCCGTTGGCCCAGCAGCCACAGCCACCATCCAGGGGAACACAGCGGTCGGCACTCCACACGAAGCCCGAGTCACACTGGCAGCCCTCGGCACAGGGGCCGTCACATGGCTTTGGCGTCGTGGGGGGCGCAGGGGACGGGCAGCTGTCCGGGCAGGCTGGGCCACAGAGCTCGTAGTGGCTGTTCTCGGGGCAGGAGATCTCTGTGGGTGGACCGAGGAGTGGTAGGGAGAGAAAGAGAGGGAATGGTGTCGGGCGGTGGGGTCAGAGCATTGGGAGGAGACAGAGACAGAGGGACAGACAGAGGGACTGAGGGAAACAGCAAGAGACACTGATAGACAGCGAAGGGGACACAGAGGAAGACCCAAACAGAGACAAGCAGAGAGAGAATGAGAAATGGAGAGGCAGAGAGACAAAGGGAGACACAGAGATAAGCGCCAAGAGACGGAGAGACAAAAACAGAGACCGAGAGAGCAAGAAACAAACAGAACGACCCAGAAAGACCCAAGTAAGACCCATCCTATCTGGCAGAGACAGGACCCCTCCCCTTACCCCGAGCTCCTGCTCTGCTCCCCAACACTCACCACAGCCAGCCTGCTCCCTCCAGTCCTTAATGACAATCCCTGCGGCCTGGCAGGCGGCAGCATAGGCGGCCAGAGCCTGGCAAAGGATGTCGTGGGCCCCACCGCCTAGGCAGACATCCAGAACGCAGCCCTTGAAGAAGCTGTCGGGGTCCACGTGGGCATGGCAGGCAGCAAAGGGGCCTCCCGCGCCAGGGGCCAGGGGTCCACAGAAGCCAGGGCCCTTGTACTCCTCCACCCGGTCCTCAGGGCATGTTGGACAGTTCCCCTGACATTCATCCCAGCACAGCGGGTCCCAGCCGGGAGCGCGCCAGCTGCCGCCCCAGACAGGTATCGAGGGAGCCAGCGTGCCGTTGGGGAAGGCTCGGTCGTTGCTGCTGTCGCGGTCCATGTTCCCGCAGAGCCCAGACACCTCGCCATGATAGCTACTAGGCAGCGTCACCTCCACTCGCCAATTCCAGTCATAGCTGACCTGAAGCCCAAAGTCCGTTACCAGCAGCGCTTTTGACGCGCCCTGGGTCACCGAAAGCCGGCCCCCGGCCACAGAGACAGGCAGCGCTGTCAGCACACTGTTCACCTGGGGGGAGGGGAAGGAGGCGAACAGAGCTCACTCGAGGTGCGGAGGCTCCCCTCTGGCCCCCTGCCTCCCTCCCTCATCCTGCCATGGCTGGCAGCTGCCAAGGCCTCCCTTACGACTGACTGACGGTTGTAGGTCATTTGACAAGCATTGCGGCCATTGCTGAAGTCCAGGCCCTGGAGAATGAAGCCTCAGTCTACTGCTTTTTCTGGGTCTCTTGCTCTCCCTCTCCCTCCCTTCCTCTCCTCTCTCTCTGTTATCTCTCCCTCTGTCTACATCTAGACTTATTTCTCTATATCTAGGCTTCTCTCTCTCTCTCTCTCTCTCTCTCTCTGGGTCTTTCTCTGTGGCTCTCTCACTCAGTGATTCCCTCCCTCCCTCCTCCTCTCCTATGCATCTCTGTGTGTCTGGACATCTCTTCAAGTCACTCAACATTTATCTAGTGCCTACCCTGTTGCATACTTCTCTCTCCCCCTGTGGACTACCATTCATCTGCAACCATGGGCAGGAAGGGTGGCCCATCTCCCCCCAGCCCTCGCCCCTCTCCCCATCTCCCTGAATTTCACTCCAGTTGGAGGCTTTGGGCCTCTAATTTATTCCCTCACAAACATTCACGGGCTCTCAGCCGGATCCCCGTTTCACAGATAAGGAAATCGAGGCCCACCAGAAAAGTCACTCGCCCAACATCACGCAGCTCACAAGGAGTCTAGATTCGAACCCAGGTCTCTAAAAAGGCAAGTGCTGAAGTCCTACATCAAGCCCTTAGCAAAGGGCCGGGCTCGCTTAATTCCCAACAGAGAGGTGACGATTGCTGTAACTATTGTTTTGCTGCCGTTTTGTTTCAGGCCTCTGCCAAGACAGAGCCTTCAGCTCCTAACCGAGGCTGGCAGGACCCCTTGCCCCCAGCAGGGGGCTCCAGGGGTCATGCTGCCGGACTTACCCGGACTTTGCCGATCTCGCCTTTGTGGATGGAGATATTGAAGCCGAGGGCAGACACGGTGACGAGCCTCACATAGGACACAGCAGGGTTGCCCCGGTTCTCATTCTTGGTGGTGACGGTGAAGGGGGTCAGGCCCTGGGAGCTGCCCCCCTGGGAGCCAGCTGCTGCCAGCACGTAGTTGCACGTGCCTTGGAAGTCGAAGTCCCAGCCATCAAAGGAGTGGTAGTGGGGGTCGCCCCATAGCCAGCATGTGGCCTCATAGTTGGGCACGCACACAGCCTGGCCAGCTTTCTCCTGGCAGGTCTCCTGTGGCCGGCACGTCACACCATGGCATGGGTCTGGAGACAGGGAGAAAGGACATTCTGGGGCTGCCCAGCCAAAGGACGGCTGCTCCCCAACATCTGCCCCAGTCTGTCCCCCAGGCTACTGTACTGGTGGCTGAGGATGGGTATCAGGGGCCTCCCAGCTGAGACCCACGCCCGGCAGTTTGCTGCCTGAGACCTTGCAGCCAAGACCCAGACTGTAAGGTCCTTACATTGGAACTCAGCCCCAAGGGGTCCCGTTATCTGCGATGCCAGCCCTGAGGGCACCCATGAGAGGGCATCCGCAGCCCCAGGGTTTTCTGTGTTCCGGACCTGGGCCCCCATTTCCCCATGTGCCTGAGCTGTCAGCCTTCTGGGGGCCACCCCCTCTGAGACTCCGTCCTGGAGGTTTCTGTGCTAAACCAAGGTACTAGAGGAACTTTCTGGTGAGAACTTAACCCCAGAGGCCCCAACATTTGAGATCCTGACCTGGGGGTCCCTGTATCTCGTCATGGCCTGGGGATCCCTCTGTGTAAGACTGTGCCTCCCTTGGGTGGCTGCCTCTGAGACCCTGGCCTTGGGGAATCTCATTTCTAAAGCCCCATCTCTGAGGGTCTCTTTGTCTAAAACTCTGTCCCTAGGGCCACTGTATCTGTGACCTATTTTTGAACCCCTGTGCCTAAGACTCCAGCCTTAAAACTTCCTCTGCACCCCACCCCACCCCCCACCCCCGCCCATTTTCAGTGTATCGCCTCTCAGTTCCAGATCCACCAATAGAGGGCTTTGTCGGGAGAAAGCGCTGGAGGGTCGAGGGAGGGGGAGCAGCTTCCGACTGTGATTCACGGTGCTCTGCTCTCCTTGCCTGCAGGGGACGCACTCAGCCAGTCCATGGCCCCGGCTGGCCTGGAGAGTCACTTCAGCTCTGGCCCACAGCTTCCCACTGAGTTTTGGGAGTTTTGCGAGCACCCCACCAGGATCTTCCTGCCTGCCTGCTCCAGCCTGCACAACCTCTAAGCCAGTAGGCTCTGGCTGCATCTTCCAGTGACATCTGTCTCTCGGCCTCCCTCCCTTTCCTGGGTGCCCTGCTTTAGCTTTAGGGGCGGGGGCTGCTCCCAACATCTGCTTTTCTTTTGTTCATTCATGTTCTTCTTACCCCCTCAGTACTTGATTACAAGTAAATTCTGTAGATTAAACTCCGCATTGAAGCTACTCTGTGGTTTCTGTCTCCTGATCCAAGTCTGACTGCTATGCCCCCCACCCCTGGGAGTCCCCGTGAGCCTGCCCAGCAGCACTGAGGGCCTCCGTCAGTTTTGGAGGTCCCATTCCCTTGTCTTTGGGAATAAGGAATTATGCTCTGCCCTTCACCCTAAGAAACCAGTCCTGGGGGGTGGCTCTGTCACTTAGACTTAATCGGGGAGGGGGGTCCCATGTCTGAGACTGTTTCCCTATAAATCCTGATCCTCCTCTTGAAGAGGGCCCTGTATTGAAGACCCCAGCCTTAGTGGGGTCTCTGCCCAAGACCCCTACCTTGAAGGGGAGATGGTGTTAGAAGCCCTGAGCCTAATCCTGCATACCAGTGGTCAGCGAACATTGGCACAGCCAGCTGCCTGTTTTTTACAAATATCAAGAGTTTCGTTGGAACCTCAGCGCCTCACTTACATAGCCTACGGCTGATTCATGCCATGATGGCAGAGTTGGGTAGTTATGACTGAGACTCTAAGGCCTTGCAAGTTTAAGTATTTACCATCTGGTCCTGTAGGAGAAAAGTTTGCCTGTCCTTGCTTTATGCCGAGGGTCTCTGACACTTGCCCCAGGAAACCTAGCCCTGGGGGTCCCCACAGCCTGGATTCTACCATAAGCGTCCCTGCCTCCCAGCCTGGAGGCCCTCTGCCCCTGGCCCTGGAAATCCCAGCCCAGGGGGCCCCAGGTGGAGACCTCAATCCTTCGTCCTCTGTGCCTCCCACTGTGAAAATCAGGGTTTCCACCACCCTCCGCTCCGGAGTGCTCGTCCTCCGTTCCCAGGGCCCTGCGCCCGGCCCCAGCCCAGCACCTTTGGTGATGCAGCTCAGGACGCCTCCCGAGGGCTTGCACACCTGTCCTGGCTTGCAGCTGTGGGCCTGGCACACCACACCTTGCCCGGCGTGGCACACACACTGCTGCTGGCAGTTGTCGACGAGCATCGTCTGGTTCAGCTGTGGGGACAGAGGGCGACGGCCATCAGGGCGGGAGCTGACACCAGCATCTCCGGTGTTCCGGGGCCAGAGGGTCCAGAGAACACGAAAAGGGCATCTTTCAGCAAGGCGGCCCCTTGTCTGTGAACCTAAGGCACCGCATGGCCTTGGGATCCAATTCATTCATTCTTTCATTCATTCACTCGTTCATTTTTCCAAAATGCCCACTCAATGTCTGCTGTATATGAGAAGCGTTGTGACATACCAATTAAGAGCAAAAGCTCTGTAATGAGCACTGGGTATTATATAAGACTGATGAATCCCCCCTGACCTCTACCTCTGAAACCAATAATACATTATATGCTAATTAATTAAATTTAAATTTAAAAAATAAAAGAGCAAAGGCTCTGGAGCAAACTGCCTGGGTCTGAAGCCTGTTTCTGCTATTTCCAAACTGTATCACTCTGTGCAAATTACTTAACCTCGGGGAGCCTGGTGGCTCAGTTGGTTAAGTGTCTGCCTTTGGCTCATGTCATGATCCCAGGGTCCTGGGATTGAGTCCTTCCTCGAGCTCCCTGCTCAGCAGGGAGTCTGCTTCTCCCTCTCCTGCTCCCCTTGCTTGTGCGCTCAGGCTCTCTCTCTCTCTCTCAAATAAATAAATAAAATCTTTAAAAAAATTACTTAACCTCTTGATGACTCAATTTCCTCATCTATAAGCTGCTGATAATAATAGCGCCTACCTGTGGTAGTATAACTTACTTAGTAATACATATGAAGTATAGGGGAAAGGAAAAGGGAGTTTCTAAAAAAATAATCAAAGGTTGGAGAGGAAACAAGGTAGGAGAAAATGTGGTTATCACCGAAGTTGTGTGATGGGTCCATGGAGATTTATTTCACTGTTCTCTTGACTTTTGCATGTTTGAAAATTTTTGTAATAAAAAGTTCGTCTCTATGTGTAACGCACCTAAACTGTGCACGTGGCATTGAAAGCTGTAACTGGTACAAGGTAAGCACCGTCTACCTATTTGCTTTTGTTATCACTTTTTTTTTAAAGATTTTATTTATTTGACACAGAGAGAGAGATAGTGAGAGAGAGAGCATGAGCAGGGGGAGCGGCAGGCAGGCAGAGGGAGAGGGAGAAGCAGGCTTCCCGCCGAGCAGGGAGCCCGAGGCGGAGCTCGATCCCAGGGCCCTGAGACCATGACCTGAGCTGAAGGCAGAAGCCTAACTGACTGGGCCACCCAGGCGCCCCTTGTTACCACTTTCCTTTGTATGAGGAGAAGAGCAGAGAGGGCGCCTGCCCTCACAGAGCCCATGGTCCTTTGAGGGAGAGAGGCTTTAGACAAACACACAGGCAAATCAAAGAAAGAGGAGTAAGTGGGTTTGGGTGGGAGAGGCAAGCAGAGGGGGTTACCTGCTGTGTCAGAGAGACAGTCCAGACTTGGGGAGTCAGGGGAAGGTTTATAGTTGCAGGGCCCACGGCCATATGGAGAAGGGTCTTCCCGCTGCCGTGGCGGAAGCTGACCCAAGGGAGCAAGAGTGAGGGCAGGGAGGCAGTGGGTGGGAGATGACAAACGGGACCACAGTGGGGCCATGGGGAGGGGAAGGGCTGGGTGGGAGAGACGCTCAGGAGGCCAAGTGGGCCGGCTGTGGGGAGATGGGCAGTGGAACGGGGTCCTGCACCAGGCCCCGAGCTCTGCCCGCCGTGACCGGGTTCCTACCTCATAGTAGACCCCGTTGTGGTAGCAGCCACATTGCTGGATGGGCACACAGGCCTGGCCGTCACTGAGGAAGCCAGGGTCACACTGGCAGCCCTCGGCACAGCTCTCTGGGCAGTGAGGGGGGGCGCTGAGTGCCGAGCAGCCCAGGGAGCAGGTGTCTGCGCAGAGCTTGTAGTGGCTGTTGGCGGGGCACTCCATCGCTGCAGAGAGGCAGTGTTGGTCAGAGCCCCCTCCCAGGGGCTCTGTGGAAGGGGCTGCAGTGTCTGCCCCTTCCGTGCCTCAGTCTCCCCTCCCTCTGCCCCTCAGTCCTCCCCCGCCCCGCCCTCCTCTGCCCCTTACTCACGACAGAATGACTCAGTCCTCCAGGGACCAATGTTGCCTCCGGCTGCCTGGCAAGCACTCACATAGGCTTGGATGTTGCTGCAGAGGATGCTCTCGTTCCCGCCACCCAGGCAAAGATCAAAGACACAATTTTCTAAGGGACCCTGGGGATCAACCAGCTTGGGGCAGGCGGCCAGAGACCCGGTGGGGCTGGTGAGGAGCCCACAGAACTTCTCCTGCTTGTACTTCTCCTCCAGTTCAGGGGGGCACTTGAGGTCTGGGCTGCAATCTTCCCCGGGCTTGCAGGTGGGCGGTGGCAGACACGGGGAGCCGGGCACTGCCTCCTCCCAGGAGTTACCGAACTCGTTTGAGCTGCCTGCCTGTGAGCCGTCCGGCTTCTGGAAGTCATCCTTGGCGTCGCTGTTGTAGTTCCCGCAAAGGCCACGCAGCTGCTGGTGGTAGTTGCTTGGGACGGTGACCCGCACGTTGTACATGAGGTCGTAGGCCACACGCAGGCCGAAGTCAGTGTTGATTATGATGTCCGAGCCGTGCCGGGAGGCGCGGACCTGGCCCTGGGCCAGCACCACGGGCAGCCTCATGTCCACACCATTCACCTGGGAGGTAGGAGATGCCACGCATCAGACAGCGCACTTTGGGAGGGCAGACCCTCGTTCGAGCCCCTGCGTGACGTTGGAGATCCACGTGACCTCCCAGTCTCTGGGCCTTAGTTCCCGCATTTGTAAAATGGGCATAATCATTGGGTCTTGCAAGTGGGTCGAATGGTGGTCCCCAAAGGATATGTCTGCCCCAAACCCCTGAATGTGACCTTATTTGGAATAAGAGTCTTTGCAGACCTACTTAGGGTCATGATCTCAAGATCATCCTGGATTCGGGTGGGCCCTATGCCCAGTGATGAGTTTCCTCGTATAATGATGAGAGCCAGAAAAGGAGACAGAGAGAAGAAAAGAGGCCATGTGAAGACAAAGACAGGGGGGAAGCCTGGGTGGCACAGTCGGTTGAGCGACTGACTCTTGTTTCAGCTCCGGTCGTGAGATCGAGCCCTGCATCAGGCTCTGCGCTCAGTGTGTAGTCTGCTTGAGATTCTCTCTCCCTCTCCCTCTGCCCCTCCTGCTTGTGCACTCTCTCTGTCTCTCTAAAATAAATAAAATCTTAAAAAAAAAAAAAAAGACAAGACTGGGATGGGAGTGTTGTGGCTGTGAGCCAAGGGACACCTGAAAAACACCAGAATTCTCTGGAAGAGGCAAGGAAGGAGCCTCCCCTGGAGCCTTCGGAAGGAGGGTGGCTCTTGCCAACACCTTGAGTTTGGACTTCTGGCCTCCACAACGGTGAGAAAACAAATTTCTGTTGTTTTAAGCCACCATGTGTGTGGTAACTTGTGCCGGCAGCCACAGAAAGCTGATACAGGGCCTCGATGGAGTAACAAGCTTCCCAGCCACCCTTCCTTCACCCCTTGCAGATCGATAATGCAGGGACGGACTCCGGAGCCGCTTGCCTGGGTTCCAACACAGCTCTGCCCCTTCCCCTTCCTGCGACTCTGCCTGTGAGGCACCTCTCTGTGTCTGTTTCCTCGCCTACTGAGTGGGATCCACACGGTTACTGTCAGGATTATTTAAATTGACATCTGGGAGGTGCTGAGAAATGTGTCTGGCACGGAATGGGTGTTCTGGGAGCATTTGCTAGCATTCTGAGCTCTGATTGGGAGTTTTTCTTTTGACAAGTAAGTGGGTGCTAAGGTTTTTCACTTTAAGCATCGTGGGTGGAGCGTTAGGCTAATGGGAAATGAACTTCAAACCCCTGAGCCAAGAACCAGTGGTTTCAAGTGGAAGGCTACCGGGCATCCAACGAAGCCTTAGAAGTCCGCCCCTGATTAACACGCTCGCTCATCATTCCTGAATGCAGACGCACTGAGTGTCAGAGGAGAAGGCAGGAGGAAGACACGCTCCTCAAAACAAGTCACCTGCCATACTTCCCAAGCAGGGATCTCTGTGCCTCAGTTTCCTCATCTGTAAAGTGTGGGATATAATAGTTTCCACCTCATGGAGAAGCTGGTGGCTTCAGTGAGATGCAAATGACAAGAACACCAACCACACCTGTATTTAGAGCCAACTATATGTGAGGCGCTCTCCTAGGAGCGTAAGCAAGCATCTAACGCATGGCCGGTGCATAGTGACCCCGGAAGAAGTCAGCTCTTTATCAGCAACCTCATCATCAATCCTGCCTGAGTGCAATGGTCATGTGCCTGCATTCTAGTGGGATCCGTGGGGAGATCCTTCCACTTTCCATAGGAGACTAAATCCTTCTCAGAAAAGCACCATGGTGACCCAGGGTCCAGTGTGCTGTCTCCTGGCATGTCATCCTGGGTTCAAGTCGTGCCTTTGCTGGGGCACTTTGGGCCAGTGATGGGACCTCCCCCTCTAAAGAATAAAGCAAATCATGGTACTTCCAGCTGCAAGGATGAAATGATACTGTGACTGTGAAGTGTTTAGCGCCCAACAAAATCAGAGGTCAGCCGTGTAAAAACCGGAGCTGCTGTTACTGTTGTTGTTATGGTTGGTGAGGGGTGATGGGGTCACCCCCAGATCGTCCTCTGTCCTTGAACCTTTCCCATCCCTGAACTTGCCCAGCCTCTGACTGCTTCATGTTGCTGGCCAGGAGACCAGGGAGGTGGCTGGGGCAGGGACCAGGTGCAGGGAAGGTGCAGGGAAAGGGAGGAGGGGGTGAGCAGAGATGTTCAGAGGGGATAGGCAGGAGCAGGGAGAGGAGAGCCTGAGGAGCAGAGGGGGAAACTGAGTCACGTGGGAGCAGGTCCCAGGTCCCCAAGGCCTCCTGACTCCTCGGCTCCCCACTCGGGGCTCTGACCGGCACCTCCCCCCACCTTGGGGACCCCGTGCCTCCCACATCCACTCAGAGCTCTGAGCCCCCTGCCTCTGGGCTGAGTGCTTTGTGTGTCCCACCCACAGAGCACCCTCTATCCCAGGCCCCCTCCCCTTCCTGTCCCGCTGCTGCTTCTCACCGTGACCTTCCACTGTTTCTGCTCCAGCCGCAGGGTGAAGTTAGCCACCTGGACGGTGATCACACTGACTTTCCCATTGCCCCAGGCCACGTTCTCCTGCAGGACACTAAACTGCTGCAGCCCAGGCCGGGTCTTGAAGGTCCGAGACAGCACGTACACGCAGGTACCCATGAAGTCGAAGCGGCGGCCGTCAAAGGTGGTGTAATGGGAGTCTCCCGAGGCTTGGCAGGTGGCAGAGCCCACGACCACGCAGCCCAGGAGGCCACCGGACGGCTTGCAGGCCTCCTGCGGGCCACAGGCGGAGGGCTGGCAGGACACCAGGCCGCCCTCCTGGCACTGGCAAAGGGAATCACACCCAGGTCCAGGGTAGAAGGTCTGGCCTGGCGGGTGGTAGATGCCTTGGTATGCGCAGCCGCAGGAGGGCAGGGGCACGCAGGACTCACCACTGAGCGCGAAGCCCTCGTCACACACACAGCCCTCGTAGCAGTCGGAGCCACAGCCCCCGGGCACTGGGAGGTCCCCACAGGACAGCGGGCAGCCACGGGAACACGCCTCGTAGTGGCTGTGGGGCGGGCAGCTCAGAGCTGTAGGGAAAGCAGCAGTGAGCTCGTGAGCATCAAGAATCTCCGCTCCCAGGTGATGCACGCCCAGGCACACCCTCACTCACACACTCACATGTAAGCCATCCGGTGGCAAGGAGCCCCTCCGTTCAGTGGGGCCTGGGGCACAGATTACATCACAATTAATCTGGGCCTAATTAAGATTCTATTCCAACTTAACTGAAGTTTGTGGTTATCTGTAATGTCTTTAATGACATGTCTTTTTTTTTTTTTTAAGATTTTATTGATTTAATTGACAAAGAGAGACACAGCCAGAGAGGGAACACAAGCAGGGGGAGTGGGAGAGGGAGAAGCAGGCTTCCCGCCGAGCAGGGAGCCCGATGCGGGGTTCGATCCCAGGACCCTGGGATCATGACCTGAGCTGAAGGCAGACGCTTAGCAACTGAGCCACCCAGGCACCCCTTTAATGACATGTCTTAAACATATAAGTGCATATACAGTGTGTGTGTGATCTATGCAATGCATTTGTGAACACAGTGGTTTTAGCTTCTTCATTCTATAGTGATATAGTAGTAGGAGAAGTAATTCTGTAGTAAATTGAAATCTTTGGCCCATGTGAAGAAGAGGAAAAAAATAATTCCTGTTCCTCTCTCCGAACTCCAGTCACTCCAGATTATAAGACAGGCGGTTTCCTTGAAAAAAAACGAAACAAAAACCCTAAGACTGAGCCTAGGAAAGCCTCTGTCTGTGCCGAGATAATAACCACGTGTGGCCATTTAAATCTAAGTTAATTGAAGTTCAATAAAATAGAAGATTTACTTCCTCGGTCACGCTAGCCCATTTCAAGTGCTCAGTATGTGACTTGGTGGTGACCACACAGGACAGCTCAGGGACAGAACATTGCCAACATCACCAAAGTTCCATTGGACGGTGCTGTTCTAGATCTTATAGCCAGCTTACAAGAGAATCCAGGGACAGAGGAACAAGTTAAATAACACTATGCAGAAGCAACTAGCCAAATCCAGAAAGTAGGAAATTCTGCAGGACAAATGACTTGATTTTTTTCCCCAATAAGCAATGGCCCAAACAAAATGGATAGAGGGGCAGAAATGAGATAAAACAAGTACAGCCAAATGTAGACTGTAGAATGTAGATGGTAAGTGTACGGGTATTCACTGTAAAATTCTTTCAATTTTTCTATACATTTGAAAAATTTCATAATAATGTGTAGGGCAAAAAGGAAAGGGGCTATTGCAGGATGAAAATAATTGAAGCAAAATCGACCCAATGCTGTGTGTGGATCTGGTCTGGATTCAGATTCAAACAAACTGAAAAATAAAAAAAACAACCACCATTTTTAGACAATTGGGGAAATTTGAACCTAGGTTGAGTTTAGATGATGTCAGTGTTATTTTTGTTCCTAGTAACAACAGCATTGTGGTCATGTTTCTTAAAAGTTCTATCTGCTGGGGATGTTTACTGAAGTATTTATGGGAAAATTCATAGTTCTAGAATTTGCTTTAAAATATTTCAGCAAAATTGGGGCACCTGGGTGGCTCAGTCAGTTAAGCATCTGCCTTCGGCTCAGGTCATGATCCCGGGGTCCTGCAATCGAGCCCCATGTCTAGCTCCCTGCTCACTGGGGAGTCTGCCTCTCCCTCTGCCCCTCCCCCCAACTCGTGTGCTCTCTCTCTCTCAAATAAATAAAATCTTTAAAAAATAAAATATTTCAGCAAAATTAAAAAACGAACAAACAATAAAACCAAAGGGGTGTTGGAGGAACCAAGAACGGCACAATACCCACAGTCATCAAAGCTGGGGCTGGGGTAAGGCCCCACCCTAGGCCCCCCTCTGCCTGATGTCTGCATCCTCACAACCCAATCTTCTAGAACTGCCCCAAGGGGTACAAAGGAAAGAGTAGTCTTAAGGAAATAAGAGATTCTCAGTTTCCACAAAGGCCACAGAATGAAGCAATTAATGGTACAAGTTCAGGAGCCAACCTGCCTGGATGCAGGTCATGGTGCCTTGCTATGTGACCTCAGGCAGATGATTTGATATCTCTGTGGTTCCAATTGCTCACTTTATAAAGTAGGAATAGGAACGATCCCACCTCACAGGGTGGTGGGGAGGAGGAAATGAGAAGAACCCTTAGAAACCCTCAGGATGGGAACTGCGCCATGGGAAGTGTGCCTCACGAGCACCACCCATAGTGGTAGGAACCCTTCCTAAGATGACCGGCCTGAGAACATCTTCTTTCCCACTGTCCCTTCGGTGAGTGTGCTTCTCCCACTTTACAGAAGACAACTGTACACTCCCCACCCATCCCAAATCAACATGGTGTGCTGCCCGGGGGTGTGGAAACCTCTGGGGACACAAAGGGACACTTCCAAATACTGCTGTGAAGTGTGGGGACAAGGCATGATGAAACCTCCCCGGGTAAGGAATCAGGACCAATGTCGCTCCCAGCAAGATGGAAGGAGGGTCTGATAGAGCCGGCTGCTCAGAGGACAGGAATAGTTAAGTTTTACTGTGTCTCTCTGTGTGCCTGACTTCCCTACAACTCAAAAGGATTTCAGAGTGGAGCGACATTGCTGGGCCAGAACCCCTTCCACCCACTTATTAGTATCCTATATATGAAAATCAAAAGCAGAATTGATGTTGAACCTGGTCTTGCTCAACAGCAGACATGAACTTTTGGGGGGAAGCTGCATCCATCTCACTAAGAGATGCCTTTCCAGTACATTCTACTCTCTATGTTGAATATTTTTATCAGTTGTGTACTAATGATACTTGCAATGATAATTCACTCCACCCTTTTTTTTTTTTTAACATTTAGAGTCTGATGGTCTCAGGAATTTCTGATGATAATGAAATGTTCTTCACAGGTGTCTATATTTGTGGCGAAGTATGATGGGGATTGGGACAGACTGATGATGGCCACGCCGCCTTCTGGGCTTGGCCATGGTCCTGGCTTTGGCTCATGGGATGACAGCAAATGGGACACTAAGCAGAGGCCTGAAGTGTGCTTGCCTAGTGGGGCTCGCCCACGCTTGCCGCTCTTTGGAACCTTCAGACCACTGTGTGAAGCAGCCTGCACCAGCCAGCTAGAAGATGAGACCGAGTCAGCAGGGACAAGCAGTCCCGGCTAAGGTCCCCCCAGACCAACCAGCCTGACAAGCACCAGATGTGTAAAGTCAGGCCATTGTAGACCATCCGGCCCCTGCAGAACCACCAGCAAGACTGCAGAGATAAACCACGCTGCCCCAGACTAGGAGATCAGCCCAGGAGCCCATAGAATCATGAGAAATAATAACTACTTGTTGTTTTAATCCACTTTTCACTTTGGGAATGTTTGTTACACAGCAAGAAGTAACTGATGCAGTGATCTAAAAAGAGACTTTCAGGTATTTCAGTATATTATGCTAGGTTAAATTCTGCTGGAACTAAAAATCTCTAGAAGGTCAGTTCAGGAGAGTGAGAATTATTTTTTCCTGTTTTCTCCCTCATTATATCCTCAGTGTTGGGAACACCAGTAGGTGTTCAATAAATATTTGTTGAATGAATGAATGAATAGAAGTTGAAGGAGAAAAAGAAATTATGTGACATGCATGTATTTATCATGTATATTTCAAGGGACAGTGATGTGCGCCATCCAGGCAGATGCTGTAAATGAGTGAAGTGGGCCAGATGGTGACCAAAAACACTGGAGAGGGACCAGGCTTCTTCTAAAGGCAGCCCTGCTACTCGTCTCTGAATGACAGCTGCCATATAGGAAATAGACCCGGGGCCACCAGATATTTTTGGTCATCTTACAAATATTTCCTGCATCTGTGACTTCCCAGGCATGTAACCAAATCCTCCTAAGCCTCTGTTTCCACACCTGTTAAATGGGTGCAGCCACGGTCCCTACCTCAGAATACCCCTCTGAGAGTTACATGAGTTAATGCTATGTATACATTAATGAATATTCATAAGGCCGAGCCCCCCAGCTGTCACTCCTGGTACTCACGGCAAAGCTTCTCACTCCTCCAGGGGTGCACAGTGGCCCCGATGGCCTGGCACGCAGCGGCGTAGGTGGCCAATGCCTCACATAGTGGCCCAGACTGGCCTGGCAGCAGGCAGCGGTCATAGACACAGTCGTGCAGGGCACCCTGTGGGTCCAGCTTGCCGTGGCACTCACGGAAGGGCCCCGTGGGGTCCGCAAGGATCCCACACTCCTTCTTGCTCTGCAGCTGCTGGGCCACCAGGGAGTCCAGGTTGGGACACTCCCCTGGCTCAGTTGCCCCACAGCCTGGCCTTGTCTCCTCCTGCCAGCTGTTCCCAAAGGCCAGGGCATTGCCAGCTTGGCCTCCACCCCGCAGAGCCAAGTCATCATTGGGGTTCCCATTGAAGTTTCCGCAGAGCCCACATAGGGCCCCAGCATAGCTGCTGGGCACCTTGACAATCACACGATCGTTCCAGTTGTAGGTGACAGTCAGGCCAAAGTCTGTGCGCACAACTGCATCTTGGCCCTGGCGGAAGACCTGCACCTGCCCATCTGCTGCCTGGAGGGGCAGGTGATGAAGGATGCCGTCCACCTGGACAGAGATGAAGGAGGTCCAAGGGGTCAGGGTATTCATGGCTGGGTGTCCCGCCCTTCACTCACTTGGCTCCAACTATTCTGAACTCCTTGCTGTTCTCTTGAGCACATGATGCTTGGTTCCACCTCAGGACCTTTGCACTTGCTCTTCCCTCTGTCTGGCATGCCACCTACCTGTCTTCAACCTGCAGCTATCAGCTTAAATCCAAATCCCTAACCCATGGCCTTCAGAGCCTATAGTGTCTGTCTCCCCATTACCTCCCCGACCTTACCACCTCCCACTCCCCCTGCCTCACTCAGTCTGCTCCAGCCACACTGGCTTTCTTGTTATTCCTCTACTTCTCTCAGTTTAGTCCAACTCTAGGGCCTTTCCACTTTGCCAAGAACATTACCCAACACTTGCCTCCTGGCTGCTTCCCCTTCAGCCTTCAGGACTTGGCGCAAAGCCAAGCCCCTTCCCTACAAGGTCTCGTTTCACTGTGACTCTGTCTACCTCTGTGCCTGCATCACCTGCCACATCGCTCACTCAGCCTCCTTGCTGTCTCCCTGAACACACCAAGAGTACTCCCACCTCATGGCCTTTGCACTTGCCCTGATAGCTTTGATCCAAATCCCTTACAATGGCCTAAAAGGCCCTAGATGATCTGAGCCTCACTGCTCTCCAGTTTCGTTCTCCGGTACTGCCCATCCCCACCCCTGCAACTCCAGCCAGGCATTCTCATCTTCTCCTGGACTCCGCGAGCTCAGGCCGGCCTCAGGGCCTTCACTGTGCCTTCTGCTTGTGACATTCCTACCCTCTTCCACGTCCCTATTCTTTGCCTGGTTGCTTCCCCATCATCCTTTATGTCTCAGCTTAAAATAGAACCCCTCTCCCCACCAGGCCCTGCTTGTCCCCACTTTTCTGACCTCGTCTCCTACCAATCTCTCTACCCCATCCCCCCATGCTCACTCTCAAGTACAGCCGCATCGGCTCTGTGCTGTTCTCCTGTACTCTTCAAGCTTGGTTCAGCCCAGCCTTTGCACCTGCTGTTCCCTGCACCTAGGAGCCACCACTCTTCACCTGGTGGTCTCTTCCTTGTCCTTCAGGCTTTGGTGGAAATCAAGACCTCCATCATAGCCATCCCCTCCATCATCCCCTCCTACCATTCCAGCCCCGCGGGCCTCCAGACTGTTCCTCTGCCCTCTTGTTTGTTCCTGCCTCAGGGCCTTTGCACTTGCTTTTCCTTCTGCCTGGAATACTCTTCCATCCACTTCTGTCCCTGCCTGTTCCATCTCTCTTCTCAAGAGGGGCAATAGGATATAGGGGTTAAGAAAGTATAGGCTCTGGAGCCAAACAGCCTGGCTTCAAATTGTGGCTCTGTCACTCATTAGCTGTGTGACCATGAATAGATAACTTAGCCTTTCTGTGCCTCAGTTTCTCATCTAACAAGATTAGCTATTTCACAGAGTGTTGTAGAGATTGAGTTACTATATGTCAAGCATTTAACATGTAGAAATAACTTAGTATGTATTGGCTATGATTATTCCAGACTCAGTTTAAGTGTCATCTCAGAGAGGTGGGAACATAAATATGAATCATTATGCCCTCTGTTTTTCTAGAAGTTTCTCTATGCCAGACACTCAGCTTTATGGGCAAAATTTCCTTTACTCCAAGGTCATTCTGAGGATTCTGACCTAAGGCCTGTAACGGGTTTAGTGGTGGTGCTTGGCACATGGAAATTTCCTTAGTTTTCCATTTCCAATCCATCTTCCTCCCCAGGACATGGGCCACTGTCCCAAACTGCTCAGTAATAATTATTTACTAGAGCTGTGAATCTTACAACCTCACCCTCGATTTTTATCTTTTTTTAAAAGAGAAAAATCTGTGGTTCTTGACTTCTGCTGGGTGGTGGACCCAGAGGACAAAACTAAAGCCTTGAGAGACAATCACACAGCCAAGGAGAGGCAGCACCGCCCGGTTTGGGGTCCCGGGCCTTAAGCACTGGCCACAAGGTCTTCTTCTAACAGACCCCCGGCCCCACCAGGGGTTCAGAGCCCCTTCTCCTTAAGGGGGATTTCCTGCCTTTCTGCCCCCTCCCCCCCTCCCCTGGCCCGGAGTCACTCACCAGCACTTGCCCAGGGGATTCCCGGCGCACAGTCACTTTCACGCCACGGGCCTCCACGCGCACGGCGCGCGTGTAGCTTACGGTCTGGCTGCCCCGGTGCTCGTTTTCCACCAGCACCCGGAAGGCGGGCAGCGCTGCCGCCTGGCCGCACGAGCCGACCAGCAGGTACGTGCACGTGCCCATGAAGTCAAAGCGCCGGCCGTCGAAGCTCACGTAGTGCGGATCCCCAGACGCCTGGCAGCTCCCGAAGCGGTCGGGGTAGCAACCCAGGAGGCCGTTCTGGACGCGGCAGCGCTCGCCGGTCGGGCAGCCCTGCGTGTCCTTGCAGGTCACCTGCTGGGTGGCGCCGTTGCAAGTGCAGAGCCGCTGGCACCTGTCGTCCGCCCACACCTGCTGGCCGGGGGCGAGCGGGCGGCCCTCGAAGATGCAGCCGCACGACGAGGCCTCCACGCAGGCGCCGCCGCTGGCCACGAAGCCCGGGAGGCACACGCAGCCCTCCACGCACCCGCGCCCGGAGCAGTTGGCCGGCAACGCCTGGGAGTTGCAGGTGGCGGGGCAGGCGGGGCTGCACTGCTCATAGCGGCTGTTGGCGGGGCAGTTCAGGGCTGTGGGGGGAGGGGGCGGGGGAGCGGGGGGAGAGAGAGACGGGGAGTGGGGTCAGGCCAGCGCGACGGGCCTGGTGGGGTGTCTGTCCGAAGGGCTCAACAGGACTTCCCTCCCCACACCCTGCTCCTGCCCCCGGAGCTCCCCGTGGCGCTTCCATCCCTCCCGGTGCTGGGGCCCCAAACCTCAGAAACATAGTTGACTCCTTTCTTCCTTCATTTTCACGGACAACCAATCTGTCAGTAAATCCTGTGAGTTCCATAGTCAAAATCTATCCAGAATCTGCCCCCTTTCTCTCACCATCGTCCCCACCCTGGTCCCGTCCCCTCTCCCCCAAGCAGCCTTTTGCCTGGTCTCCCCCCCCCCGTAACCCCCATTCAGCCCTCACAGGCTGTTCCTCACAAGCAGCCAGAGGGGCCCTGTGAACACCAGCGAGGTCCCTCTCCTGCTCAGAGCCCTCTTGTGGTGCCATCTCAGGGAAAAGCGGGGATCCTCCTGGTGGTCCACGAAGCTCCCCATTATCTGCGCCCATCGCCTGTCTCCTCATCTCCTCTCATCCTCCCTTTGGTTCACTCTGTCCCAGCCGCAGAGGCTTCCTCATATGTCCTCACACGCCCACCTCAGGGCCTTTGCTGTTCCCAGGGTCTGTACTGGCCGTTCGTCAGGAGGCAGGGCAGCATGTGGTTAAGAGAAAGCTACTGGAGCCCAGATAGCCTGGGTTCAAACCCCAGCCCCCCCTTTTAAGCTGTGTGATTGTGAGCAAATGACTCCAATCACCCCGTGCCTCAGTTTCCTCATCAGGAACATGAGATAATAGGAGTACTGACCTCACAGGGTTCTGAGGAGTCAATGAGTTCATCTGTGCAGAGACAGCCCACAGTGTCTTTGCTACTTAGCTGACTCCAGTGTCTTATCCTGCTCTCGGTTCCACTGTCACCTCCCCAGAAAGGCCGTCCCTGACCACCCTCTTCGTCAGCCTCTCATCACATGAACTTCCTTTCTTTTGTTCTTGAAAGATATTCCATGGTTTGCTGCTTACTGTCTGTCTCCCCAGCTAGGATATAAATTCTGTGAGGGTGGGGGTCTGGTCAGCTTCAATCCCCCACTGAATCGCCAGCACCAAGGACAGGATCTGGCCCACAGGAGATGCTCATTCATTCAGAAATGAATGAGTGGATGGATTCACCAGTTCCTCCTTTGCACCAGGCATTGGGGGAACTTGGGAGGGTGGGTGTTTACTGGGCAGTGAGGATAGAAGAGTGACCAAGACAAGCCCCACGTGGCCTCAGTGTCTCCCCCCAGACTTACTCCCCCTCTGGAGTCCCCGTCTCAAGCCCGAGGCCTGGGCCTGGACACCTCCTCTTCCCTGGGCACTTGACTTTCTGTCTCCTGAAGATTTCTTTGGGAGCCTCTCCGGGGCAGGGGCAGGTGTGTGCTGGCCCCCATGGCACCCATCACCAGCAGAGGGATGGGGCCATATAGGGGCTCAGGGAATGATTGTGGATTGAATGAATAAATGGGCGAATGAATGATTAAGTGGATGGGCACCCGACTAAGGAGCTTGGACTTTATCCAGAGGGCATCGGGGAGTCACGGAAGGGCTGTGAACGAAGGGACGTTTACATTTCTGCTTTGGGACTCGGAGTACTACCTGTCACGCCAGCTCCTCTCTCAGCCTGGTACCCATGTCCTGCTCCCCCTTTTTCTGTCTCGTTCCAGTTTCTCCTACAGGTTTCAGACTGGGCATCGCTTTCTCCAGGAAATCCTCCTCGGTCCCTCCCCCCACCCAGGCGGAGTTGAGAAGCTTTCCTGGTCGCCCATAGCCCCCTGGACGTCCCCCCTCCTGGCCCTGTCCACTCTGCCCGTGCCTGGCAGAGCCCAGCAGGGACCACCCTCGTGGTGGTCACTGCCTAGGCATGTGTCTGGCCCAAACTTAGGCTCGCCGTGGGCACGGTGCGGCCATCTCGGCCATCCCTGCGTCCCCGGCACGGTCCAGCTTCAGGCTGCACCACAAGAAGTGCTCAGATATGGAGCAGGTAAAAGGAGTCCCCTGCCTCCCACCACGCGCACCCCCAGCCCCGCACCGAGGGTGTCACTCACGACAGTGGGCCAGCAACCTCCAGTTCCCGACAGAGATGCCAAGCTCCAGGCAGGCCTGGGCGTAGGCGCTGAGGCTGCGGCACAGGCTGGACCGGTCCCCCTGGAGCACGCACAGGTCGTACACGCACTCCTCCAGGAAGGGCCGGGGGGGCAGCGCGCTGTGGCACACGGCGAACGGGCCGCCGGCCTGGGTCAGCATGCCGCAGAGGTGGTTGCCCTCGTAGTGCTGGGCCTGGCCTGGGGTGCAGGAGGGACAGTCGCCCTGGCAACCGTCCTCACACAGGTAGTCCTCATCGTCCAGCTTCCAGCTGTTGGCAAACTCCACGGGGTCGGCTGCCAGCTCCGAGTCGTAGGTAAGGAAATCGTCATCGGGGTTGCGGTTGTAGTTGCCACACAGTCCGCACACCTGGCTCTGGAAGCGCTCGGGCAGGCTCAGGGCCAGCTGGCTGTCCCAGTCGTAGGTGACCACCAGCCCGAAGTCCAGCTCCACTACGGCCTGGGTCCCGCTCTGGTACACACGCAGGCGGCCCTCGGCCAGGGAGACGGGCAGGCGCGAGCGCTGGTTGTCAATCTGCGGGGGGGGGGGGGCAGCGGGCGGTCAGATCCTGTGTGGTCTGGCCCTCACCCCTCGAACCCTCCCCACTCGCCGCCCCCTGCCCCGGCTGCGCTGGGATTCCTTCTTGCTGTTGCTGCCACCGACCAAGCCTTGGGGTCTTTGCCCTCGCCTCCCTGTGGCCTGAAATGTTCTTCCCCTAGATGCACCCGTGGCTCACTCCCTGACCTCTGACCTCTTACAAAAGCTTTGCTCCACCGTCACCATGGCAGTGAGGCCATTCCTGACCACTCTATTTTATGTGGCAACCCCTCCCTACTCCCTATGCCCTTTCCTTGCTCTATTTTTTTTCCCCTATAGCTTCTAACATATCATTTGCAAATTTCTCATGTTTATCATCTGCCTAACTCCGTAGACTGTCAGTCCCACAAAGACAGAGCTTTGTGTCTGCTCTGCTCGCGGCTTCCTCTCCTGCGCCTAGAACGGTGCCTGGTAGAATCGCAAGTGCTCAACGAGTGAATGAAGACGATGCTGTGTTAGATAAACATTCACCGGGCACTGCCTCTGGGCCTGGCCCTGGCTGGGCGATCCTGGGAGTGATGACCGAAGACAACACACACCCTGCTCTCCTGGGGCTCCCAGTCCAGTGAGGGAGGCAGACTGGTCACTAGATCAGAGTGACAGATCAGAGGGATCAGGGCTGGAATGGTGGGAGCTCTAAATCTCTGTCAAGTCACTGACCTCTGTAAGGATCTGACAAAAGTAACAGGGCTCTCTCTCTGAAAAACTGCACAGCAGATGCGAAATTCCACACATAATTTCGGGGATTTTGAAGTCCCTCTGAGCTTGTGCTCAGTCCCTCCAGATTTCTAGAACACCTACTTTAATCCACTTGCTTATTAATCTCACAGATCCACCTGCACACCCACACAGCGAGGTGGGTACAAGAATGCTCAGTTCTGCAATATTTGCCATCGTGAACAAAACATCCATCGGTGGGAGACTGAGTTACCCAAATGACGGGGCATCCATCCAGTGCAGAACAGTGCACATGTAAAGAACAACAACAAAAGAAAGTCGAGGCTCCCTTGATGTTGATATGGAAACAGCTCCAGAAGCTACCATGCAGTGTAAAAAGCAAAGTGCAGAACAGAGCAGACGGTACAGTACTCTTCGCTAAGAAAGGGGAGAGGGAAGAATGTAGGTTTGCCTTGCTTGTATTGGCATAAAGAAACCCTAGGTGAAACCTCAAGAAATCAGTAAAACTGGGGTGTGGGGGAGGGAAGGGAGAGAAAGCAGATGAAGACAGGAGTGACAGCCAGACCTTCCGCAACATGCCCTGTTTGTTTTGAGCTATGCTGATGCTTTACCTCTTAAAAAAAAAAAAAAAAAAGAATCGCAGCAACACGGAAGAAATTCACAAGTACTGTGCTGAGCAAAAGAATCTTCCCGCAAATGGCTTCTTCCACTGTGTGATTCCATTAATATGAAGTTCTTGAACAGGCGAAACTAATCATTGGTGGGAAAAAAAATCAGAACTATGGTTGCCTCTAGGAGCAGGTTGGGATTGTCTGGGAAGGGGCATGAGAGAATGTTCCAGAATGATGAATAGATTCTATATCTTAATGGAGGTTGGGGATGCACATTTGTCAAAACTCCATGAACTTAAGATATATGGATTTTTATTATGTGTACATTTGATATCCAAAGTAAACAAAACTGGGACAGCCAGCTGGCCCTGAGCCTGCCCAAGCGCTTCCAGAGCCAGGTGTGAGGACTGTGTGGCAACTACAACCACAGCCACAACCCCGACCCACAACCCATACCATAAAAATATGGTATGAGGCAGAATGGCAAAGAGGTTAAGAATAGGCTCAGGAGGCAGCCTGCCTGTGTTCCCAGCTCCATCTCTTACTGGCTCGGAGCCCTTGGGAAGTCGCTCATCTCTCTGGACCTCAGTCTCCTCACCTAAAAGTGTTAATAATAATGCCTCCCCCCACAGATTGCTGTGAGCATTCCATGCATTAATACACGGAAAGCACTAAGAAACAAATCCAGCACATAGCAGGTGCTCCTTGAATTTAGTGTTTGGTCACTGAAGACATTCCCCATTGTTGGACAGTTTGTTTCTTTTCTTTTTTTTTTTCTTTTGCTACCCCAAACCACGTTGGCATAAACTTTTCTTCCCCCAACCATATCTCTGAGTACCTTAAAATTTCTAGAAGTGGAATTGCTGGACGAAAGGTATTTCAGGCTCTGATTTTCGAATTCCCCCTCCCCAGCCCCCACTGATTTTCAAATTCCCCCTCCCCAGCCCCCACTGCCCCCTCCTCTGTACTCCCCACCCCACAGCCGAGGGCTTGGGTTTGGGGCCCGAAACCCAGGCTTTGCTTCCTCCTTCTGACTGGAGGCTCATAGGTGTTAAACCTGAACCCTTTGGACACTTACCCGAGCGAAGCCAACTTCCCCTCGGACCAGAGATACTGCGTGGCTGTAGGCACGCACGTTGACCAAGCCCACGTAGGAGACCCGGCGGCTGCCCCGGTGCTCATTCTTGGCCTCCACACCGAAAGCCGGCAGGGTCTGGTCGTTGCTGCACAGCTCTGCCATCGAGTAAAGGCACGTGCCCATCATGTCATAGCGCCGGCCGTCGAAGGTGGTGTAATGGGGGTCACCTTGGGCGCGGCAGGTGGCCACGGGGACCGCCACGCACTTGGCCTGCTGATCCACCACCTGGCATTTCTGCTGGGGACTGCACTGCATGTCTTCGCAGGAGGGTTTCTGGGACAGCACGGCTGGGGAGGGGAGGAAGGGGGTGGCAAAGAATAAAGAGTCAGGGGTATCCTCACAGGTGGGAATCCTGGAGCTCTCCTGCTGTGCAGAGTTGGGGCAGTGGGCTCACAACTACCCGTGGAAGAAGTGGGGAAACTGAGGTCTGGAGGCCCCCTGGGGAGATGGTTGCCCAGGCATGACCCAACAACCCCAGGTATTCTAATTCCCTAGTTTGACAAGGCTCAGCACAGGAGAACTGAAAGGTAGTGAAGAAGGATGGGCAGGGATCATCATGGAAATGTCGATTTGTGGTTTTTCTCTCCCCGTGTCCCCCTTCCTGTGCATTCCCACTCGGGTCAGAAGGCTAAGGAATCTTTTTTAAGGACAGAAAATGGAAGTCTCTGCCTTCCTGGATCAGGCTGCCTAGGTTAGAATCCTGGCTCTGCCGGTCGGGCGGCACTGGAGAAGTAATTTTAAACTCTCTATGCCTCAGTTTCCCCATTTGCAAAAAGGGGGTGATAACAGTACATTCTTCACAGGGATATTTGGGGAGGAGGGCATTGCCAGGCTTAAAGAAGCTAAAATATAGGTAGGGTTTGGCCAAGGTGGTGAGTGTTACCTGTTATAATGAATCACCTACCCCTCTCCTATTTGACTGTTCAAGCCCAAAGTGGCTCTTTGAAGGTGGGTGGCTTGCACGCCTGTGGTTGGAGGGGGCATTTTTTGCCAGTCCTGGGAACTCTAATGTCTAGGGTCCTAGCTTGAAGCAGGAGGTCCACATAGGAAGAAATAGCCCTTCCTCCCCTGCCTCCCAGTGTTCAAAATTTCTTGCTTTCTGTCTGCTCATAGTAACTTGCCAGATACCCCCTGAGAGCTTTACAAATGTTAACTCATTACTCCCTCACTCCAATCCTGTGAAGGGGTACAGCTATTAACCCTATTTTACAGACGGGGAAACTGAGGCCCACATAGGTGAGGTCACATGCCCAAGGTCACACAAGCAGAGGTGGGATTTGAACCTGGGAAGTCTGGCTTTAGCATCTGTGTCCTCAGACACCACATTGCACTGCCTGGGGACAGTTCCTCAAATGCTCTGAGCCTAAGGTTACACATGGGGCCAGGTCCTAGGGATTAACTATGTTAACACACACAGGACATCCAGAATGGTCTCTGGTATATTGAGAGAGAACTCCCCCCGCCCCACGGTAGCCATTATTATTTATCATACTTTTAGACCTCCTGCATTGGGGTGTAAACATTCCTATAGGAGGTGGGGGAGTGGTAGTTAACCACTGGTATAGTTGCTAAAATAGCAACACATTAAAAATAAATAAATAAAAGATCAAAATACTTCCAGACTGTTTGATAAGAAGCTGCTGACCTGAGCCCACTCCTCCCCACAAAGATCCCTCCCTCTAGGCACCTTGGCTCTTTCCTAGGACTCTATCCCTAACCCCCGTCCCCCTGCAAAAAGCAACTGACAAAGGGCTGAGGCCAGACACCTGTCAGACACCGTGGAGGCTTATATATAGGACCCTGCTGCCGTGCTCTGGAGGGCACCGCTTCTGACTGGTGGGGACCTTGGATCGCACTGGTGGCTAAATATTTAGCGGTTCCTTGAGGGGCTTGGGTAGGGAGGAGCTGGGAAGCCTTAGGGAAGGGGATGATGGCAGAGAGGATGGAGGTGAGGTGGGGACAGCCCCAGGAGAGCAGGTAGGTGGGGAAAAAGCAGAGGGTGAGAGAGCCAGCCAAGGGGTCACGGGTTGGACAGGGCCGGGGGCTCATTTCCCATCACTCACTTCGGCCGCAGGCACCTGCTGTCCCATAGCTTATGGCCTTGAGCAGCCCGAAGGTGAGCAGCCCGAAGTTAGTAGTGGCCTCAATCATGTGGATCTTGTCACTGGGGCCAAGGTCCACCTCGGCATAGGAGAACTCACTGCCGGGCACAGCTGTCCAGGAGAGCTTGGCCCCCATCCTCTGCCCGTCCATGGTCAGCTCGTTAACCGCCTTTGTCTGTGTTACTGCCAGAGCCACACCCTCAGTGCCTGGCACGCTCTTCACCACATAGGCCGGGCAGTAGGCTGCCACATCTGGGACCAAGGCCAGGTGGGGGTCATAGGTTATTTGGCCCCTTGTGGCACCTGTGCCAAACTGCAGGACCTGGATGCCCACGTCTGCAGACAGGTAGAGCGGCTGGGACGGCCGGATCTCAAACTCTACCACATCGCCCTCCTGGAGCCTGCGGGAGCCAGCGGTGCCCCCCTGATTGTAGCTCAGCTTTGTGGTCTGGCTGGCCATGACATAGACCAGGTCGTAGTGGGCCTGGGAGGACAGAGAGGGCACCACGTAGCGGGTGCCCCAGGCAGACGTGGGGAGTAGCTGCTCCACCACGTGGTTGCAGTTTGTGTGTTTCTGGGCGCAGCTGTGGCCAGAGAACACAGCCACCGGACCATTGGCTGTGATCTTCGACCCCGAGAGCTCAGCTGTGCTCTGTACCTGGGCCACATGGTAGGGCTGCAGAGTCAAGGTCACGACACTGCCCGCTGGGTAGAACTTGCCCTGGAATGTCGCCGACCCCTTCAGCTGCATAGTGACCGAGGCCCCTGCTGCTCCCACCACCACGGCGAACTCCTTGACATTCTTGGACGAGACGCCGGGAGGTGTGAGCGCAAAGTACTCAGTGCCCAGAACCTGAACAGGCCACAGTCGCGTCAGCTCTGCTGTGTCGGGCTTCGTGTTTACAGCCTGCGCAGAGATCTCACGGTCAGAGTGGACCGTCACTGCGTGCTGGAAGACCTTACTGCCGACCATCTCAGCCTTGGAACTGATGTTGACCATGACTGACTGCCCCGGGTTCACTGTGACATTCTGCCTGGTACCATCTGCGTGGCAGTGAATGGAGACCGAGGCAGGGCGGTCCGACAGACTGGAGAGAAGGAGTTGGAGAGATGCCCTGTGGTAGCCAGGCAGATAGTTCTGCAGGAAGGCCGCAAGGAAGTCCACGGAGGTTCCCTGGGTCAACCCTGGGGGTTGGGGGGAGAGAACACAGTTGCAGGTCTGCTCACCCAGTCCTCTCTAGCTGAGAAGGAAGGCTTTGCATTGCGCCTAGATACCAAATTGAAATATCAACTCGAGCTTTTTCTCCCCTCGCTTTCCCTTCTCCTTATTTGCCTACCAGCCTTCCTGGCTTTTGTTTTCTAAAAACCTGAACAGGGGGCGCCTGGGAGGCTCCGTTCCTTAAGCGTCTGCTCTCGGCATGGGTCATGATCTCAGGGTTGTGGGATCAAGCCCCACATCAGGCTCCCTGCTCAGTGGGGAGTCTGCTTCCCCCCTCCCTCTCCTCTGTGCACTCCGTCTGTCTAAATAAATAAAAGTAAGTAAGTAAGTAAGTAAATAAATAAATAAATAAAATAAAAGCCTGAACACTTTGGACCTGATGGGCCAGGCAAGTAATGCAAACGTGGGAAGCCATCTGGTTGGCCAGTGTGCAAATCAGAGAATTCATACGCCAAGGAAAGCGGGGTTAGCCTATTATTATGACGATTTATGGGCTCTTCTCCCCCACTTTTTTTTTATGCCAGACCTTACCATTTTTCAGGAGAAACTGGCTATTTGAATTTCCACGTGAAATCTCCAACCCCAAATTGTTTTAAGTGCTATGGGCCTCAAACTGGCTGGATTCAGGTGCCGGTTTATGACTTCCATCTTAATAAAACATGGGGGGTGTAAAGGGGGTTAAGGGAAGAAGGAGATTATGGCAATGTGGACAATATGTCTCCTAGAAAGAGGGAGGAGTGGGTGCTTTTCAACACCCCCAACTAGGAAAGAGATTCTCCAGGGCTGGGAAGAGAGGGAGGGAGAGGGGAAGGGGGGAGGGGAAGAGGGAGGGAGAGGGAGATGGAGAAAGAGAGAGGGCAGGGGAGGACATCTACAAGATCTTGGAGAGAGTATGGGGTTATAGAAGGACTCTCTGCTGAATCAGGGGAGCCTTGAAAGATGTCCCAGTGTCCCACGGGGCCAGGGCATCGGGGACAATGAAGGCTTCAAAAGTGACCTAAGCAGATGCTGACTGATGACTAGACGGCTCTGAGGCCCCATCCTTCTCCGGTAGGTACTCTGACTTCACCTGAGACTCCAGTCCTGGGCATAACCCTGGGGAATCGGGCACCAAGCCCTCCAAGAACGACTTGAGTGAAATTTTCCATCACCTCAGCAGCAGGAAGCTCAGAGTCAGAGTTTTAGTTGAGTTACAGAAAATTGAGAAAGTGGTACTTCTTGAAGACTTAAACTGGGGGACCGCGGATTTTATCTGCTTCTTTCTAGGACAGAGAGAGAGTGGGAGGATCCCACCACAGCTCTCTACAGAACGTAAGGGGCCTCGCTCCTACCTCAGCTAGCCTGGTGTGGCACTGCAAGATGGGGTTGTGGAGGGCATGCAGATGGAGTGTGCTGACCGTGGCAGGCAGAGTCCCCCAGATGAGAACAAGGACACGGATGGGATCTCAGTCCAACTTACCACACAGGAGGGTTGCTCCTGTCCAGAGTGTCCACCAGCTCCACAGGGAACCCATGTCTGCAGAGGGGAAAGGGAGGGGGTCATGGAAGGTTAGTCTGCCCCTCTGGCTGGGCACTATTCCAGGGAGGATGAGGGCCACCTGGGCACCAGGGAGGTGGGCTGGATCCAAGGGCCAGTGTGTGTGTGTGTGTATAGGAGAGTTACATGTCCAGTGGGTCTTGTGGGGGGCAGGGAGGGCAGGACAGGGCACGGAGGGGGAGTTAGGTGTCCAGTGGGCCCAGTGGGGTTGGAGTGGGGAAGCCTGGAGCCAGGGGCTAGAGTAGGGGACCTGATATCCCACTTCTCTAAGGGACCCCAGCCTCTCTCACCTGCAGGTCCCTGGAGCTGCAGGGCTAGCCCCTGGGCTGGGCTATATAGTGGAGTTTCGTGGCTCCTCAGACCACACCCTGGGTCACCTGCCAAGAAGATGGAGCCAACTTCCTGGAGGAGGCTGGTGATCCCAGGGCCAGGTGGAATGGAGACCCTGAAAGCCTGGGAAGGGTGGAGGGCAAGCCTGGACACCTGGGTCCTTAGAGGGGTGTGAGAACAGCTGGTGGCTGTGGCCTGGGAGCCTGCTGGACACTTCAGAACTGGAAGGGTGGGGTCCCTGAGGGAAACAGCTGGGGAGCAGGGTGCTGGGAGCCTGGGTCCCCAGGGGGTGGGGGAGTAGGGGCGGAACGTGGTGTTTAGTCTTGTTTGCTGGTTCGATGGTTGGATCTCTCCCTTTGCCTCCTGCCAGGAACAATAGCAAAGGACCCATATCCGGGTTCTGGCTGCTCCCTAGTCCCCACAAGCTGATTCCTCCTGGTCCCCAGCCATCCACATCCTGTATGCAGGCAGCACTGTGGTGTCTGGGGTGGGCACGAATCTGAGCACCTGAACCTAGGCCAGTGGGACACAATACCTCCAGGACAACAGGACCTCCTGAGAACCTTGTCTGCAAAACGTGAACATCAAAATTAGCCTCACTGGGGACTGTAGGTGGGAGGCAGGCTCTTCTGGTGGGGACTCCCGTGGAGAGCAGGGCGGGAACTGGGGGCTGGAGCTGTGTGTGAAGAAGGATGGAGGCCCCTGTTTCCTGGTTCCACGCAGACACTGGGTTCTACTTCCTGGAGAATTATTTATTTTCTGGGAGGTTTTTTGCCCCGAGAAGGGACTGGCTGGGGGCACCTGGGTGGTTGTCGGTTAAGCGTCTGCCTTTGGCTCAGGTCATGATCTCAGAGTCCTGCGATCGAGCCCCACGTTGAGCTCCCTGCTCAGCGGGGAGTCTGCTTCTCCCTCTCCTTCTGCCCTCCTCCCCTCTCCAGCTCGTGCTCACTTTCTCTCTTCTCTCAAATAAATAAATAAAAGCGAGCGAAAGAAAGAAAGAAAAGAAAAGAAGGAAGGAAGGAAGGAAGAAAGAAAGAGAAAGAAAGAAAGAAAGAGAAAGAAAGAAAAAAAAAGAAAGAAAGAAAGAAAGAAAGAGAAAGAAAGAAAGAAAGAAAGAAAGAAAGAAAGAAAGAAAGAAAGAAAGAAAGAAAAAGAAAAGAAAGAAAGAAAAAGAAAAAGAAAAAGAAAAGACTGGCTAAACAGGCTTTGGGGACCCCTGTGCCTCCCATCACCCAGAATCTACCTGGGATGGGACCCTAGGTGTCACATGGGGAGCAGAGGAAGAAACTGCCGCGAGGTGGTGTGGCTTTTGGGGTCTGTTCCTACAGAGGAGCTGGCCTGACCCATGCCCTGGTCTCCTCGAACCCCGTGTTAGGACTCATTGTTTGCTAGGGAGTTTCCCCAGCAGCTGCAAAGCCTGGGCACCCTCTCGGACAACACCCCAGCAGCTGCTGCCCCCAGGACTCCCTCTCTTATCACCAAGGCCTGTGGGTGGCTGGGGTGGGTGAGGGCTCTGGCATCCCCCACTCAGGGCAGGTTCCCAGAGGGAGAGATAAAGACTCAGAGTTGAATGGGACCCAAAGTCAACCAGGAAAATGAAGTGAGCAAACAGGAGACTGGATGAAAGCCAGGGATGTCAAGAAACAGGTGGGGGATGGGGGGGTGGCTCAGGGGAGGGAGTAGGAGTTTCGCGGGGAGCAGTGCTTGGCTCCCTGAGGAAACGAAGGACCGGGAGGAAGGACTGCCAGGATTCGTAGGAAGGAAGCAGCTTATCGCAGACCAGGGTGGCAAAGTCTTCTAAACCAGATACCCCATTGTGGTCTGAGACAGAGAAATGAGGGGCGAGGGGCAGAGAATTAGGGTGAACCTCAGGGGTGATCATGCTCCTCCAATCTCGTCTGAGCCTTGAGGTCTCCCCTTGGTTGACCCCGGAGAGAAGCCTTTGCGTCCTCAAAAATCCACTCTTGGGCGCCTGGGTGGCTCAGTGGTTAAGCGGCTGCCTTCGGCTCAGGTCACGGTCCCAGAGTCCTGGGATCGAGCCCCGCGTCGGGCTCCCTGCTCCGCGGGAAGCCTGCTTCTCCCTCTCCCACTCCCCCTGCTTGTGTTCCCTTTCTCGCTGTGTCTGTCTCTGTCAAATAAATAAATAAAATCTTAAAAAAAAAAAAAATCCACTCTTGCCCTTTGCAGCCAGAGTCCCTAGAAATGGGGTGGTAGTGGGAAGTCTCACCATTTAATATGTTGGATTTGACATTGCTTAGGACCTTCTTCTCACTCCTTTCAGGGCCCAAGGGGTGTGTGTGTTTGTGTGTGTGTGTGTGTCTGTGTGGACACACCCTGTGGCCTACTCTATCACATCTCTTCTCAGAACGCCCTTATCTATTCTTGGAAATCCCACCGGAGAGAACCTGCGCACACATTTCCTTATGGTCAGAAAAGCATGTCCATCTTGCCCCTTGAATCCTCACTCCAAGCCCAAACAGAGGTGTTTGTGAATCTGAGCCTTCTGGCCTCTCCCTGAGGCAGGATCTGCAGGGGGCAGATCTGCACTCGTCATACACTTGAGACCCCTGGGACCCTCGGGCTTGTCTGGGCTTTACAGACCAAGGGCACCGCTGGAGAGAATTTACTCTCTGCAGCTAAATGTAGATTAAAAAATTATATTTTATTTATTTATTAGAGATAGAGAGAGAGCACAAGCAGGGGGAGCAGCAAGCAGAGGGAGAGGGAGAGGCAGGCTCTCTGGCGAGCAGGGAGCCCGATGTGGGGCTCGATTCCAGCACCCGGGATCATCACCTGAGCCAACTGAGCCACCCAGGCACCCTGCTAAATGCAGATGTGCTGGCAATTTCTAATATCATTCCTTCATGCCTGGGTCCCACAGGGATTCCTGCCACCGCCTTGGGGAACTCCTCCATCTCGTGTAAGCTGTCACTAACCTCCCTTGATCTCATTCCTCCCCTGCTCAATACCTTTCCATGCTTCCCTGTCCCTGTGAAGGCAAGTCCACACTCTTGGCAGGATTATCTCCATGGTCTGCACCTATCACTTGGCCACCCCCTGTGCCATTCCTCCCCCTCGGAGCCCCCTCCTTGATATTCTGCTTGCTGACTCTGTGTCTGGAGTCCCGACCTCACTTTCCGCATGGCTTATTTCCCAAGAAGCCAAGCTAAGGCCAATCTGTTTCATTCCTCTTATACCACACTGACTACTTGTTCCCTTGCTTAAAGGAGATCCCCTCCCCTTTTCTCCACACTTGAAACTGAGAGTCTTACTGCATCCACAGTCCCGTGCCTCCCCACCAATCTCTCTTCCACCCGCCACAGTCTGACCTCCATGCTCACCAAAACTGTGTTTGCTGGGCCCTTATTTGCCAGTTGGTTCTAGCTCCTTCTGTTACATTTGACACGAACACCTTTTCCTTTTCTGTCTAATGCCCGGGCGCCTGGCTGTCTCAGTTGATGGAGAATGAGACTCTTGATCTCGGGCTTGTGGGTTCCAGTCCCACATGAGGCATAAAGATTACTTAAAAATAAAATCTTTAGTGGGATGCCTAGGTGGCTTCTAACACCACAGATTATTTAGCTTGCTTTAAAATTTTACTTCAGTGGAAGGACGCCTGGGTGGCTCAGTGGGTTAAGCGTCTGCCTGCGGCTCAGGTCATGATCCCAGGGTCCTGGGATCGAGTCCCCCATCGGGCTCCCTGCTCAGCGGGGAGCCTGCTTCTCCCTCTGTCTGCCACTCCCCCTGCTTGTGCTCTCTCTCTCTGACGAATAAATAAATTTAAAAAAATAAAATCTTAAAAAAAATTTCTAATGCCTCTGTTTTCAGGATATCACTTTCTTCTGGATCTTGTTACTTGGTTTTTTTCTTACAGTGATTCCTTTGACATTGGTGGTTCTCAGATTCTCCTTCTCTAACTACATCTTTTCTCTAGGAAATCTTAACCTGTGTCTACCCGTGCCAATAGAACTTTCTGTGATGATGAAAATGTTCCATACCTGGCAGTGTCCAATGTGGTAGGCAAGAGCTACATGCAGCTACTGAGCTCTTGAAATGTGATTAATGCCAGGCAGAGACTGAATTTTTAATTTTTTTTTTAAGTAGGCTCCACACCCAATGTGGGGCTTGAACTCACGACCCTGAGATCAAGCCCTGATCTGAGCTCAAGAGTCAGACACTTAACTGACTTAGCCACCCAGGCACCCCAATTAATTTAATTTTAATCAATTTAAATTTTAATTTAAATGGCCACCTGCAATTTGTGTCTATATTGGACAGGATAAAACTCTAGAGCTGTGGCTAACACAGGCCCCATTTCATCCAGCTATCTAGCTGCCTATCCATCTGTCACTCACCTACCCACCTATTTGTTCTCTTTTATACCCACTTTCCATTCCTATTGTCCCCTTATCGGTAACCATTCTAATGTGATTCATGGGAATAGTTTTTAATGTCTTAATGGAATAAACTACGTGTATTAATAAGTTCCTGTTCTAAAACAAAAGGTCCATGGCTGAACTCTCAGTTTCCAAGGGGAACACTTTATTGATATTGTAAAAATCTAATAGAAACAGAAAAAAGGGAAATCTGTGTATAGGTGAGGACAATCATAAGCAGTAAAGGAGAATAAGACAGTTACATCAAATC